TGGGGGCGGAGTCGGAGTGCGGTATTCGCCACTGTAATTATTTGTGGTGGAATAATCGCATGCCAGCAACATCCGTGTGCCATGGGCTGGATAACTGGGGTCGATGATTAGAAGTGGGGTCGAGATCGCGGTCACACAGGGTCGTACAATCAAGTGTTTTGGAAGGGGGTCTACAAATTACACAAAATGCCATTAATACGGAGGCGAGCATGTGTTTATTTATGTAGTTCAGATGTGTGCGTGTGTGTGTGTTTAGGTATTTTTGGCCATTTCAATGGTAGAACACATGACATTTTAATTTACCCGAGCGAGAAAACCAATTTTGCATCAATGAACCAAATGTGAAATGTGACAAATGCCACACAATTATAATAACAACATCAGCATCTCCAATGGCAACAACGACCACAACGACGACTGCAACAAAGCTAATGCATAATTTATTCAACAACATTTATTTATACACATTTATGATTTGCACAACGAAGGATATTTAATTGACTTTAGCAAATTGCATTTCTATTAGCCAAATTAACTTACATGTGCAATTCAAGCGAATTACGGCCCAAAGACGTTACTTATGCCAAGGATGAGCTCAAGGTACATGCATGTACATGTATATGGAATGGAATACAATATGATTGAGGAAAACACTTGTAGTTGCAAATAGCTCCAACATTTCAAAGCCAATGGGATCATTTGATATTAACATGACGAATATACTTTACAGTCAATGGGGAGAACGTTTTCAAGTTTTTTTTTTTTTTTTGAATGAATGCTTCAAATTAAACGATTCACATTCGATGATTTTAGATGACAGCATTTACATTAAACAAATTAAAGCAGAAATAAATAAAATGCGACAAGAAATACTAACTAGCTTAAACGATTTCAACAAAATTGCGGGCATTCTTTAAAAGAAACTACTTAGTATACCCTTTGGGTTGGTAGATGAAATGTCATATTTCAATATATTCCTTCTGGTTCAGCTGAAAGTGTTTGAAATAATTTTTATAAGTATACAAACGCTCAAAAATGTTTAAAAACAAAGTTGAAAATATTCGAAATGAACATTTATTAATACAAGTATGCGTGCTGAAAATTGTGTGCTTTCCTATGTTATATTTATAAGCTGTACTGGAAGGGTCAAGAGTATACTAGAAAGTCTAGCTTAGACCTGCCACATCCATACGCAGAGCGAGTTTATCACAAACCATATATGGTTTATATATTTTTTGTAGCTCCCATAGGACCAAACAGTGCAAATATCATAATCCAAATCCAAAACTCATCCTCTTTGGACTTTGCTCGAACGCTAACTAAAAATTCTCTGCTCTCGTAACAACATACTGTAACTGTCACCAGGTCGTCGTGTAGATATCTTAAGCACATCTGGTTTTATAGTGACTCATCAGTCCAAATTGGAATTTTTTTTACATTGTTTCTCGCTTTAATTTTGATCAATAAGCTAACGCTTAGTACAAGAAGCATCATAGGACCTTAAGAACAGCTTACCCTATAAAATATAAATATAAGACTCTTTTATTAATTTAAATAGACAACAAGAGGAAATTACAAAAAATAAAATGAACTCATCCTTTCTTGAACCTGGATCTGGATGCCAAGTTTGGTTATTCCAGCTTTTATAGTTTCTGAGATCCTTGCGTTCAACCAGACAGACGGACGGATGGACGGACGGATGGACGGACATGTCTAGATCGATTTCTTTCGTCATGCTGATTCAGAATATATATAGAATATATATGCTTCCTGCTGCCTGTTACAGATCTACTATACCCTTTTTACCCTTTAGGGCACCTTTTTACCTTTTAATACACAGTAAAGGATATACCTATAGGTTCATTTTGAGATCTGTGTATTTTTGCTCAAATGTAATAACAGTGTACTTAAAAAGGCAACTAATCGGTTTATGTCTTTCATTGAAAAAATTGTGTACATACCCGTACCACTGAAGAGCTAGTACTAAGGTTCAGCATTAATATCCATCGTCGAAAGTTTGCAATAATTCTACTGTGGCTTCAATAACATGAACGACGAACGACGAGTACCTATGCTGCCTTTAAGAGCCTGGGCACTTTCATGTCAGTGCACTGATTAAATTCGGCAAATATCGCTGATGCTTGCAAATCGGTGCTCAATGCGGAGCGGTGCAGAGCAGAGTAGTGCCAACCGGGGCAGCGGCCATGTTGAAGTGCACACACAAAACCCATGCAAACAAACAGGCATTTCATAGCAAACAGAGCCGAGCAAAGCACACCCATCCAATCGTCCCCAAAAACCCATACGCCCATATATCCATACACCCATACGCTACGCAGTTAGACATACAACAAATGCACCGCCAACAACAATTGCAGGAGCTTTGGCCGAGTGTGGGGTACTGGGTACCGGGAACTGGGTACTAGCAACTGTTGTTTGTGTTAGCTCGGAACTCTTTGCAATTCTAGGCTCGAATTTCTAGTCATACTCTGCGTCGAACACTGAACACTGAACACTGGCCTCGCATTCACAGTCGCATTTTATTGTACGTGTAGTCGCCGTTGTTGTAGGTTCGGCATTATTTCGGTTTAGTTTGGTAAATATACATGCAGACACAGCTCTCTGCCATCGCCCATTCGCCCAACTCCCTCCCAACAATTCCGGTCGCCCATCGACCACCCACAGTCGTATTTATGTGTTGGAAACTTCAAAACAACCATGACTGTTTTCGAGTGCGAAATCGAAACGAAAGCCCCCAGATTTGCCGCTCATAAATGGCACGGAACGCTGCAGCTCTGCTGATGCTGCTGAAGCTATCATGTTATCGTTATTCAACTGCCACATATCTAAGCCATTGTGCAACGGGAGCTGGTGGCTGCATGTTCGCGCAAATTCTTTAACAATTTTTCTATTTTTTTTTATTTACTGTTTAAACTCAGATTCAATCAGAGCGCTAGTTGTAAATCCTAAAAGATTCTATAGTTCTTGTCTATTGATATTAGAGAAGATGAGAAAACCTCTTTAAAGACATCTTATAAAGTAATTTTTAAAAATAAATCCCTATATGCGTATCCATCATTGATTAAAATGTAACATTCTGTAGATACAAGAGTATATTCGGCTTGTGCAAGTGAAAAATATTGCATTATTATAAGAGTATATTATTATATATGTAGGTGCATATACTCGATCAGCATGACAAGACAAGTCGATTGGGATCTCCTAGACTATAAGAGCTAGAGACACCAAATTTTGCGCACAAATGCCGTAAATGTATACGCAGCACAAGTGTTTTTTCTTTCAGCTTACCGGTAGTAGAGATTTTCCCTAACTCCCGCAATTCTTGGAATTTGTAATCCAATTAGGCAACCACTTCTAGTTAGTTCCTTTAGGCCCGTTTCATCATAGGCATAAATGAAATCTCCACTCAAGCTCTGCCAGAAGCAACTGCTAGTGTTGCTGCTTTGGCTCAACTGATTGCCGATGCAAATGTACAGTCCGCTTACGTGAGTTGGAGGCCCAAGGGAGGTATAACCGATCAAATTTTTTATTGCTTTACAATTTTGTTTGTTATAATGTTTTTACAATTGTAATTAAATAATTACTTAGTATTCTACACATGCATTGGCAGTAAATGCGTACTGATCTTAAGTATTTTGGCAGTATTTTTGTTATCGTTTCCTACCACTCACCTTTTGTAAGAGCTCAATCATCAACAAGGCAGGTAGTGATTGCGTACCGATCTTAAGTATTTTGGCAGTATTTTTCTTATCGTTTCCTACCAGTCACCTTTTATAAGAGAGCTCAATCATCAACAAGGCAACTCTACTCATTCCCCTTCTTCTTCTGCACACGCTATACGCTGCTTTCAGTCTGTTGCTGGTTTCGAAATGCTATCTCAGTCTAAAAGTGTATTACGTATAATACATGAATAATTCATTAAGAATGGAGTTAACTTTGCATTAGATATTGATCTCACTGTGAAGAAAAGATTTGACATATAGAACCTCATATGTGAAGATGCTAGAAATACCTTCGCTCTAAAAATCTTATTGTACAATTATAAACAAATAATTGAGCCCTTTAAACGTTGTTCATTTTTTTCATTTAGATCATGCTCACAAGAAATAAAACAGCTTTGTAAGATACAAAAAGTATGTATGGGAAGATTATCTGACTCTTAAAAACAGAATAATATCAGAAAAATTCAAAGCTTGTTAAAAAAACTGTCACAAAAGGCAAATAAAGTGAGCCATTAATGGGGGGCTTCAAAGGCACCAGAGCTGACCTGAAAGGGGCGGGGCCACGGGCGCTCCTGTCATATCTGAAAACGCTTTTGCAACGGTACGAGAATCGATAAATTCGTTAGGCGTGCAATTTGTGCCGTGAAAGCGTTCAAAAGAACACACTCCCGACCACATCCACACGCACGCACACACACACACACACACATCTGGAGGCATATTGTTTGGGTGCATATGCAGTTATATGTATCTCTGGATGTACGAGGAGATATATGCCTGTGTTCGTATGTATGTATGTAGATGGGAACGCGCAGCATGCATGAGTGGACAGTGTCCGAATTTCAAGCTCCACAGTTCGCCATCGATAAAAGTCCTTGTAGAGTAGCTGTATATGGGTGTGTGTGTACATACATATGTGTTTACCAGGGCACAGGGCCGTCCTACTCCTTGTCAGTGTGGCCCTTTGTCGTCTGCAGCGGCGATGTTGACGATGCTATGCAAATTACTGCGAGTGCATCGAGGCGTATGCGCAATTTTTGCCCATGTTTGCGAGTCGCCACCAAACAGCCGCAGTTACCGTCGCCACCGACATCGCAGGCAGCGTAAGCGGCATCAATCAGTTATTAGCTGAGGAAATCCGCCAGGCCTGATGGTGCTTTTGCTTTTACTTCAATTTCGTGTTTCGTGTATCGCGTTCCGCATCACAATTAACTAACCAAAAACCCATCTCTCCGTTCTCTATCCCTCCACTTGCAGTGCCTCCCAAGGCAGGACAAAAGCGACCCGCCACCAGTCCGGCGCCTCATATACCTGTGCCCCATCATCTGCAGACGCCGCCAGGTGCTGCTGGCAGCGGAAATGGGGCACCACCCCCGCCGCCCACTAGTGCTCTGTTGAACCACGCCCTGCCAGCCAACCACATTGGTGGACAGTCGCCTTCATCAGCGCTGGCTGTTGCCCAACAGCAACAGCAGCAACAACAACAGCAACAGGCGCAGCAACAACAGCACCAGGCACATCAGCAGGCAATGGCTGCGGCGGTGCAACAGCATCTCGTAGGTGTGGGTGTTGGTGTGCCACCCGGCGCCATTAATGCCAGTGCCGCCAATGCGCGCGGTTCCTTTGCGGCAGCTCTGCGAACTCTGGCAAAACAAGCGGACATCAAAGAGGAGGACGACGTAGGTAGTGGGGCACGTGAGCGAAGCGCACCACCCGGTGGGGGTGGAGGTGTAGCCCCGCCTTCCCCTGCAGTTAACCCATCCAATTCGGCTGTTCGCAGTGGTATGCAACTGCAGAACGAACGTTCAGTCTCTGGCGCTGGAGGCGCAACCGACGAGCGTACCGCAAATAAGAAACGCTCACCACCCTCACCACAGCCGCCGGAGAAGATAGCGCGATTGAGCCATACGCCGCAAGCAGCTAGCATTCAGCCGGAGCTTTTGGCACGCAGCGGTTTTCAGCCCTATCGGTCCGATGAACGACTCATGCATCCAGCTGGCCCCTTTCCACTCGAGGCTTACTCACATTTTGCCGGCTTGTCCGGCATACCCCCAGGTAAGACATAAATTCTACATACTTATCTATCATATTACAGTACTTACTCTAATTATTTTTGTTACAGCATTTCTGAATCCAGGCATGCCGTACTCCGATCCTTTGTATTTGGAGCATCGATACCAACTGCTACGTGCGGCTGGAGCTCATCATTCACATCCACACGCTGCTGCGCTTTATCCACCAATGCCCTCGCCTTACTCCCATCTATATTCAATGATACCGGGCGCAGCATTGGGGATTTCGCCAGCGATACACGATAGGCTAAAGCTGGAGGAGGAGCACAGACAACGGATGGCGCGCGAGGAGGAGCGTGAGCGCGAAATGCATCAGCGCGAGAAGGAGCGTGAGCTGCGGGAGCAACGTGAGCGAGAACAGCGCGAAAAGGAGCAACGGGAACGCGAACAACGCGAGCAACGCGAGAAGGAGCAGCGCGAAAAGGAACAGAAAGAAAAGGAAGCACGTGAACGTGAAATGCGCGAGAAGGAGCGGGAGGCGCGGGAGCGTGAACGGCAACAACTACTTAATGCATCGCATCACTACTCCAACCAGTTGTACTCCCCGCTAAATCGAAACCTGCTGGGCTCCATGATACCGCATCTGAATCTTGGCCTACGAGGTCCACCGACGGGTCTACACGGGCTACCTGGAATGTCTCCTTATCATGCGGCCAATGCTCAACGACAGAGTCCTCATGCGGCCATGGGCCTTAACCTGGGCTTGCCCGGACTGCCGGGGGTAACCTCCTTGGGTGGTCATGGGCCACCCAATCTGCAGCATCATCTGCAACAGGCGTTGAGCTTGCCCCATCCGGGGGCGGCTGGTCTAACCCATCCCGGCTTTTCGGCAGCGGCAGCACTTGGCTTAAGCCCGCATCCGCATAGTCTCAATCTGAGTCACCCACACATCTCCCCGCACCATCCATCCATGTCGGCGGCGCACCAATTGCCGCCACACACCTCCTCAGCAGGACCGAGCACAACGGCCGCCTCGGCGCTAACGACCTCGTCGTCCTCCCCGCACAACAGTCTTAATCTGACGTCGAGTGGGGCTCAGCAGGCGCATGCAGCAGCAGCCGCAGCTGCCGCCGCAGCGGCTGTTGTATCGCTACCCACCACAATGAGCAGCAGCGTGACCGCCTCAACATCGACACCCTCATCGCACATTCCGCACTTCTATCACCACGGCCATCTGGCAGCAATGCATGCTGCCGCAGCAGCAAGTGGCTTGGCACCAGCTGCGGCTCACCAGCAACCCATATCTTTGGCTAGCAGCTCTGGAGGCACCTCGCACTCACACTCGCATCCTACTTCTCCGACGAGCTTAAAAATATCTCCGCCGGTAACTGCGACGGCTGCTGCACTGGTGAATAGTCAGAATGGCCAGAATCGGACAGCTAGCAGTCCGCACGCGATGCGTCATCATATTGCGGCTGCAGTGGCTGCAGCTCACCAGTCGGCGCTGATTGAGAAAAGCGGCAATGCGACTTCATCTGCCAATGTCGCACCCTCGACCCACGAGCCGACCACACTTGACTTGACAGGTTCCAATTCGAATTCGAGCAACCAAACGCCGTCCAATGCGAGCAGCAGCATGCCTAATCCGCACGAGCTCAACGGCGTAGAATCGAATGGACCGACAGACAACAAGGAGCCAAATTCTGGCAAGGATGCACCGCTTAAGAGTGTGACACCACCAGTGGCAACTTTGGACAAAAAGCCAGCCACACCTACTACCGCCAGCAATAACACCACAGAGAAGACGTTATTGCCGGATAGTTCTCCGGATAATTCCTCGCGGCGTAGCGCCAGTCCGCCATCGGAGACGAATACATCGTTGTCCGCTAGCGGCCCACCTGCAGCAGGTAATATCAGTGGGGAACAGCTAGCAACCCCAATCGCTTCTAAAATACGACCCCCCAAGTCCTCACCGTCCCCGGTGAATACGCTGGCCGCTATACCTGCGGATGCACCGACGGGCCGTGGCTCGCCCAGACCTTCCGCTGACAGCCTGGACGAGAAGCACGGCAAGCTGCCCACATCGCCAGCACCTGCCGGGGCTGCTGACTCACCAGACACGGTGTCCGCCTCGGGCGGAGTTACGTCCACAACAAGTGAAGCCACATCTCCGCCCGTGGTCAGCAGCAGCACAAATGTGGCCAGCACCGCCGCACTGACCGTCTCGGTTGGCGACGAAGTCAGCACAAGTGCCACGCCCACTGTTGAAGCAGTGGCGTCCGCATCTAAATAAAGAGGATAGCCCTACTGACCAGACCAGTTCCCCCTTCATATACATACTAAACACACATATATCTCTGGGCTTGTGTCTCAAGGGCACTTCTACTACTACATACATACATACATACATACATACATACATACTATAAATATATATTGTTCAATTATTACCTTCGTTAATTTTAAGTTTTTAAAGAGTTGATGTATCGTAAACGTATTGTAACGTATTTTGATTTATTGAATCGGAACTAGTTCACATCTACCTTCAGTAAACTTAGCTATGAGATAATAATTTAGTTGCTAATTCAAATGTTTATTTATATTATTATACACTACATTGTTCAATGAATTGCAAAAACCTAGAGATTCAATTTAATATTATTATCATTATTATATTATTATTATTATTATTTCCCATTACTTATTACATTTTATATAAATGTGAAAACATTAAGTTAGAATTGTCGAAATAAAACATTTTCTGTTTATAAATTGATTTGCTTTTTATCCTTGCACAACGCCTTAATTAAAGGAAGAGATTAGCATGTGGTTGTACTTTCTAAACATTTCTCGAAACAATTCTCATTTCAGAGGATAATAAGGCCTCTCATTTATTGGGCGCTGTCGGTCGGAGTAGTAGCGCCGAGGAGGCCACAGCTTTATGACATCAGTTATTCAGCAATTCCAACAACTAACTAATCAAAAATTTTGGCGACATCGGAATGTATTTATTGTCGGAAAACGCTCTGCACCAGCAGCGGAAACGGATGCTCGATGAATTTTTAAAGCTTTAGAGTCCTACGAAATTTCATCGGTGGAAAGTGGGCGTCAATAAGTAGAGGATAACAGCTCCCGACTCGCTTAGATAACGATTGGCCAACGGTAATTGAAAGTTACGTAATACTTGTAGCCTATTCACACATAAATACGCAAGCTAATAACAGATACAGATATCAGATATTTGTTCGTTCTCGATGTTACAATCTAACATTTACTCAAAGTTGAATGCAATTCCTCAATATACATAACATATGTATAGTATGTATGTATAAACATTAAATATATTGGATATGTGTAAAAAAATAAATAACAAAACAGAACATTAAATGTAAAATGAATATTGTATAAATATTGTGAAGTATTTTAATGGAATACAACAACAACTCTAAGTACACTCGTACGTACAAGTAAATAATCCAAAGAGATCTGAACATAAATGTAGTTTGTGTAGGCAAAAAAAGTAGCCCTGCGCCAAAAAAAAAAAAAAAAAACAAAAAAAAACACAAAAACAAAACAAAACACAGCAAACAAGCATTGCAGATAAAAATAGTTGTAATTTTAGAATAATGTCCGTAAGAAATTTATATACATACATATGAATACCTATATACATACTGAGTAGTTATATTTTATTCTTAAATTGCTAATAAATTGTGATTTGGAGAGTACGAAATGGAAAGAAAAACAAACTCGAATACAAAGTGGACAAAACGGAACTGAACTTTTAGATAAAAAAAAAAAATCAAAAAAGAGATAATCTGGAAAGAGATAATCTACAGACGTGAAAAGGCTTAAATTATTTTTTGAAATTGCAATGTTTTTTGTATAGTTATGCGAGCAACTTTTGGCCCTTATGTGCGAGTAACATGATAATGTTTTTTATTATTATTTTAGTTGATTGCAAATAAATGCACATTTTTGTATCCTCTTATAGACATGTTCTATGCAAATGGTCAAAACTGGAAGGATGCTATTATTAAATCGAACAAGAAAACCCAATCATTTCAAGAGATAAATATAAATTTAAAACAAAAATCCCCTAAAGCAGAGAAGCTATGTAACTACAAACAATTTTAATGTACCCTTCATAATTCATCGTCTTAAATAGACTATCATTATATATGATAGGTACGACTATGTACGGATTACTATATAGACAATTTGGTATCAGGATGTAAGGGTGGGCTTGGAAACAGAGAGCGATCAGCGCAATTGTCGGGAAACTGGCCATTACTTGTCTGGTTTTTATCAATACGCCTATTGAGAACCCTTGCCTGTGTTTGAGATTGTCTTAACTTTATGATATGCATAAAAATATGAATTTAAATGATTTTTAAAGCATAAAATCTCGAGCAATCTGTGATATTATAAAAAGAAAACCTAACCAAAACTCAACAAATATAATATTGTAAATGAGCCTCAAGCTAAACTTTATCTGAGCGCCAATACTACTTTTAATTCTGAATGATATTCATGCAGTTATCTAATATCTCCACATCAAATCTGATAATATGTTGGTGCTGCAAGTGTTGAGTTTGAAATGGAAAAAAGAAACAAAACAATCTGTTCCGAATACAGTTCTATAAAAATTCTGTCATTAGCTACACCCATTCATCATAAACGAAGAAATTCTTAACAGCATGTATGCACGTACCAGTTTAAATGAAAATGGATATATTTTAATAATAATCGTAATACGGATAATGCAGATATCTGGATGTCACTCAAAGATCGGCGCGCAAACTCAATTAATATGAACTCAGAAATTGCGAAAGCTAAAATATATTACAAATAGTTTCAAATACAGTCTAAACAAAATAAAATAAATGTACTTTTCCCCCTCAATCTTCGTTGTGTGTGTAAAACAGAATAAAATGTGTAAAACATAATTTATAAGCTAGCCAAACAAATAGAGATCATTGAACAGCATATTTTGAGCAACAGTTGAAATAAAAGATTCTAACAAAATAGACACTAAAGATAATGATGAAAGATCGTGGCAAACAAGTTGTGTATAACAGCAAACAAAAAGCATTGAGACACTTTCCATAAAGCATTTATGATTTTATGAAATAAACCGTACTTAAGAGATTAATCTTCTAGCATTTTTCTTACTGTGTACATTGAACATATTCTTCATACAATATAAACCAGCGGCAGGTGTACGTTGTGAAGTGAGTTTATCAGCCTTTTTCCATTTCCGACTTCGAGTAAATGGAAACAGAATTAATCAATCAATCCAATATCTATTTACTAAACACTTTTTCGCACTAGCAGTTCATTTTAAAAACCAATTTATTACTACTTATCATAGAAAACAAAATAGTTAGGATTCTAAATCTAAATTCTTGCCGCATCTGCCTTCTTCACATATTTCAAAATTCTCACAATTGTTGAGGGCGTTACGCCCTGAATCCGGCTGGCAGCGGCAATCGTTTGGGGCTGTATGAGACTCAATTTCTGTCGCTCCTCATTAGAAAGGCTCAGGGATTTGGAAAAATAATCAATGTCCGTGGGAATACAGAGGCTCTCCTCTCGCCGTACATCATCAACATCGCGCTGCTGTTCGTCCACAAAATAGGCATAGAGCGCTTCTATCTTCAGTCGATTCGCTATATCATCATCCGCACGTAACCAGTTCAGGTCGCTTGGACAGAGGTCTATTATTTGCTGTACGGATATATCGTCAGCAGGTATGCCGAGCATATCAAAAGCAGATTTCTCCACAGAGGCCTTGGCTTTGGGCAGACTAAGCGCTTGCCTCCAGAAATTACTGTGTTTGCGCAAACCCCTTAGTACCTCGATGCCTGCGTGAATCTTCCGCTCAGTGTGCTTAAAATGTTGGTAGCGCTGCTCAGAGACCAAACCGTATTCGAATCCCTTTTGCGTGAGTCGCATATCCGCGTTGTCCGGCCGCAGCGATAGCCGGAACTCTGCACGACTGGTGAACATGCGATAAGGCTCGTTGGTGCCCAGAGATGTGAGATCATCAATCAAGACCCCGATGTAGCCTTCAGTACGGCTGATAGTCAGCTGATGGCCGTTCGTGTGCAGTGTCTTACCCGCGGCATTGGCACCTGCGATGATTCCCTGGGCAGCAGCCTCCTCGTAGCCAGTTGTGCCATTAATTTGGCCGGCAAAAAACAAATTGGCCACACGTTTCGTCTCTAGACTGGGATATAGCTCGCGAGGATCAATGAAGTCGTATTCCACACCATAACCGGGCTGTACCACCTCAGCCTCTTCCAGACCTTCAATGGCGTGCACAAGCTCCACTTGCTGTGCGTGCGGCAAGGTGCAGGAGACGCCCTGCGGATAAACCAAATCACTGTCGAACCCTTCCGGCTCGATCCACACCTGATGGTTCTTTACTCCAAAGCGCAACACTTTCGATTCGATTGAGGGACAGTATCGTGGGCCAGTTATCTCCTCTGTAACGTGTCGATTCACGTGCAGATTGTTGCGCACGATTTCGTTAACGCGAGGTGTCGTGTAAGTTAAATAGCAGGGCATCTGTTCTTCGGCTGATAGCCAGACGTGCCGGTTGAGGAATGAGAAAGGCACTGGAGGATTGTCGCCATCGTGCCGTTGAAGCTTTGAAAAGTCAATGCTCTTCTTAGCAAGCCGAGGCGGCGTTCCTGTCTTTAGGCGACCCATGCGAAAACCCATCTGATCCAAAGCCTCTCCCAACGCTTTGGCTGGAGCGTCGCCAATCCGCCCTGCAGGCCGCACCTCCAATCCAATGTTGATATGGGCGCGCAAGAAAGTGCCCGTAGTAAGAACCACCGATTGGCTTCGTACCACCTCCCCGTCGGATAATATAACACCGGCACAGCGAACGCTATTGCTGCTGCTTTCGTCCGATTCAATTAGAATGTTGTCCACAGCGGCGCTGCGAATTTCCAGATTTTTGGTTCCAAATAGTTCTCGTTGCACCTCCTGTTTGTACAATTTCCGGTCGATCTGCGCTCTCGGGCCCCACACCGCTGGCCCACGCCGTCTGTTCAGCACCTTGTAGTGCACGCCAGACTTATCACAGCAACGCGCACAGACGCCATCCAACGCATCTATTTCACGCAACAGGTGCCCCTTTCCAATACCACCAAACGAGGGATTGCAGGACATCTCACCAATGGTATCCAGCTTATGGGTAACTAATAGAGTGCGAACTCCCATTCGAGCAGCTGCGGCACATGCCTCGGTGCCGGCATGGCCACCGCCGATGACAACAACATCGTATTGACCAGCATTCTGCACCAACGTGGACTTAAATCGCCCATAGCCGAGGCGCCATCCTAGGCAACTCCTCAATTGCAGCATTTGAAAATAATAAACAAACACGTTGGAAGTCCGTTGTGGCCCGCTGATATGTCTTGCGTAAGTTTTTCAACACTCGAAACATTCCTTGGTATTTTTTGCTTGGTACTTTTCTACTACATTGTGCAGCCCTGGTTGACATATGTTTGCATGCAAAACATGCACATGCACTAAATTAAAAGATACATAGGCATCTGAATATGTCCTTGGTTAAGTATATATTGGAAACGTGGAAAATTGTTTATTGGTTGGCTTACGAGCAAAACCGAAAACAAATAGAGTGACTGGGCTAATGAAGGATTTACCATTCACAAGACCGTTGTTCCTGCTACGTCGTGTAACAGGGAGCTCTTGAATTGTTACTCAGTGCTGCCTATCGTTTTAGTATTTAGTGCTGCCCAGCCACCGTATTAAAAAGGTTGTGCGCGTTTAAATTGGCGGGTGCATTAAATTGGCATTGTGTTTGTTAATTAAATTGTGTTTAGAGGAATTTAACTGCCTCATTGTGCTGCTAGGCATTTATTAACGACAATTGCTTTGTTTCTTCTAAATATTTATAAATATTCTCTCATCTAATTACATATTTTAAAACTTTAATTTGCACTTAATACTAAAAAACGAGAACTGAGGTGATCACACTATTATTAAAACAGTACGCCATTTAAGTGTTTATGGGGAATGTAGAAGTTCCCAAGCTACTGCGGCTTATTAAATTTCTAAGCGGTAAAATATTTATCAATATAAATAAGAATAAACGTTTATAATAGCATCATTTATATTTCAGTTAAAACGTGACAACAACTTAAGTCATACAAACAATTTATTTACAAATTTCAATTAGGAAAACTAAGCGGACTCCTGTGCTTGACGGTAATCGAAAACAGTTCCTCTTTCAACAAACCTTTGGTTGGCATCCTGTCCTTGATTTCCATAAGAGCTTTTGTCTTTGTCGGAGCTTTCCCTGCAGCCGTATCCACCACCACCAGGCGTTTTCATAGCAAAAGTGTCCTGAAAGATATGAAATATTTAAATATGTTTGAAAAAGAAACCGGACGCTTCACATACGCCCGCCTCGACGTCGATGCATGTCTTGGCCGCGAGGGCAATCACCCGGCCGTCGTGCTTGATGATTCGATTGAGTCCGCATTTTCCGGGCTCTCCGCCAGCCATACCGTATGGGTGTAGGGTGCGTCTCTCTGTCATTACAGACAAGGTGACGGGGTTCCGGAAAAGTAAATCTCTCTCGACGCCGTCACCGCCGACAAACAATCCACGACCTCCAGACTCGTCCGTGCGTAGGCAGAAACGTTTTAGAATCATTGGATAACGGAGCTCCAATATTTCAGGATCTGTGATACGTGTATTGGTCATGTGTGTGTGCACACCGCCTGCTCCATTCCAACCGGGTCCAGCCCCTGCCCCGCCAGCAACCGTCTCATAGTAGCCCCATTGCTCATCACCTATGGTGATATTATTCATGCAACCCTGCGAGGCCCCACAGACTCGGAATGCCTTTAGAACCGTATCGACGACTCGCTGCGATGTCTGCACATTGCCTCCAACCACTGCTGCTCCATCGGAGGGATCCAGTATAGAGTTCTTCGGAATTACCACATTGATAGGTTTCAGGCAGCCCTGATTTAGTGGAACGTCGTGACCAACCATGCAACGCAAGCAGTATATGAGCGCCGATAACGTGATGGCGCGCGGCGCATTGCAGTTACCCCACACCTCCGTGCTGGAGCCGGTAAAGTCGCAAATTGCTGAGCCGTGCTCGGGATCGATGGTGACCTGCAAGACTATTGGCGAACCGTCATCCATAAATTCCTCTGCCTGCAACACCGTGGAGCCGGTACGTTCCATAGTATCGCGAGCTATTTGCTTCAACATGTCCCGCACTGCCAGCTCCGCGTTTTGTTGAATGTGCGTCATGTACGCCTGCACCACATCAAGGCCGTAGCTACCGATGAGCTCGGACACCAGTTGAATACCTTTGTGGTTGGCAGCAATTTGGGCTTTCAGGTCAGACAGATTGTCACTGAGGTTGCGCGTTCCAACTGCGCCCTTGGCTTCTGTTGGTGTGGTAAGGCGATCAATGATCTTCTGCTCCTGGAACACGCCATTTTCGACAATTAGGAATGACTTGAAAGCGGCTCCCTCTTGAGCCAGCGATGTAGAGTGTGGTGGCATCGACCCGGGGGTTATGCCACCGATATCAGCATGGTGGCCACGTGAAGCAACAAAGAAAACGGCTCTCGGTTGTCCTCTAAAATAGGGAGAAACGTAAGAGTAGATCACTTCTTCAAATCGAAGCCCACTTACTCATAGAACACTGGCGTAATGACGGTTAGATCTGGGAGATGAGATCCTCCAGCTTGCGGGTGATTCGAGAGGATGACATCACCATTTTTCAGCGTCTCACCGCGTACACGGAGTTGATACTGCACGGTCTCCTGCATGGCACCGAGATGGACTGGAATGTGGGGTGCATTGCTGACGAGACCACCGTCTGGACCGAAAAGGGCGCAAGAGAAGTCCAAGCGCTCCTTGATGTTCGTGGATATGGAAGTGCGCTGCAGTACTCTACGAATAAAGGTATAAGTGAAAAGGAAATCCAACTTAAATGACTTCAGCTTACCTGCCCATCTGCTCGGCGATGCTCATAAATCGGTGGCTAAATATACTCAAATGAATAGGATCTAGCTCAGTATTAATTCCAAGCTTGCCGCCGGTCTTGACGTCTATGACAAGGTCACCACAATCAGTGACATTGGCACTGCACTCTGGCTCCACAATAATCGTCGACAGTTGATCGATAAGAACGGCCGGTCCGACAATTTTATGACCAGCTAAAAGATTTTTGGTCAAATAAATGAGTGCATCGAAGGCTCCCTGATCAAAATGAATAGGGGTTGTGCCCTCCGATATCGGCGTCACATCTGCCGCCCTGGGGACGGATTTCTCCGGTGGTGTCTCGTTCTTGCCCAGACCTCTAATACGAATATCATCGACGATAATGCGACGATTCTGCAACACGAATCCAAACTCGGTTCGATACCGCTCCAAGAAGGTTGCATAGAAGTCGCCATAAGCACTCGTTAACACGTTTTGACTTTGATTCCCAGTGGTGGGACCACACATCAGAGCACCGTCTGTGCCCTCGTAACGTAAGTGCAAGAAGGGTTCGAGCTTGATCTGCCGGAACCCTTGAGCCGATAACTTGCCATGACATTTAGTGGCCAAGGCATCTATGCGTTCCTTTAAGACTTGCGCATTGCTATCGCAGAACTCCAACCCACTAGGCTCCTGTTCCTCCTGCACCACATCAGCCAGAGCCATACCGTAAGCGGAAAGGATGCCAGCGTATTTGTGGACGACTACCTAAATGTTAACAGATTAAGAAATGAGACTTGTTTAAATCTAATCTCGACAGTTAAATCACCTTCGCAATGCCTAAATCGCGGGCTATGGCACACGCATGCTGGCCCCCGGCTCCGCCGAAGCAGGACAGCACATGACGGGCTGTGTCTAGGCCTCGAGACTGCGTGAGTGCGCGTATGGGCCTGCACATAGTCTCGTTGGCTACTCTTATGAAGCCCAATGCCACTTCCTCTATGCTGAGTTGCCTTTCATCCCCAGAAGCCTTTAAGTGCGTATTTATCTCCGTCTGTAGTTCCACAAACTTAGTTCGGGTAATCTCATAATCAAGGGGTTCGTTCTCCTTCGGCCCAAATATCTTTGGGAAATATTGCGGCAAGATGCGACCAAGTATAAGATTGGCATCTGTAACTGTCAATGGTCCGCCCTTTTTATAGCAAGCGGGCCCTGGATGAGCTCCGGCCGACTCTGGGCCAACAAGGAAGAGGCCTGAGCGGAAGAAAAGGCGCGAGCCACCACCAGCAGCCACAGTGTTAATGTCCAATTGGGGCGCCTGAATCGTTACACCGGCCGTTGTGCTCTCAATAACATGTTCATAGATTCCCGCATAGCGGGAAACATCCGTGGAAGTACCGCCCATATCGAAGCCGATCAAAGGTAGTTCAGTTTCTCGTGAGCCAGTTATGGCATAGCCCACAACACCGCCAGCGGGCCCCGAAAGTATTGCACGTGCACCACGAAAGTTGGCCATATTGGTTAAACCGCCATCGGACTGCATAAAAAGTACATCCACGCCATCCAACTGATTGTCGAAACCCGACTTAAAGCTGTAAAAAGAGGTAAAGCCCAAAATGAAGAAGTGGAAAACTACTTGTACATTAAAATCTAAAGTATGGTAAGTATACATTCAATTGATAATCCGCTACATATATATTATTCTTTTAAATACCTGACACCTTTAAAAATGTGGCCTATACAAATCGCGTAATAGGTACCTATGTCCATTTCTTAACTTCATAGATTAAGCCAACTATCCATCAAATTTGTCATAAACTTGAACTGTTGGTGGATAGTGTAAGTCTGTTGAACAAGTAGAAGTAAACACTTTTGCTGTTCCTATTAAATTTAATTTAATACTAAACTAAAATTGAATACTAATCAGGGTGGAGTGTGACTATAAAAACTAGGTAATATTAGGCATGTAACAGGCAAAGGGAAGCTTATCCAACTCCATTAATTATATACAATTTTTAACATGAAGAGAGGACAAGTTTGTTCATCCGTCTGTCTGTATGAACGCTTGGATTTCGGGAACAGCTGAGGCCACATTTATGAAACTTGGTATACTTGGACTATTTACACTATTCTATTTACACTCCATCCTTAGCTAATGGATTTCGCCAATACTATACCTGAAAGCTAAGTAAACTTTACTTTTTCCATATAATTATTATGTAATTCTTTATCTTCTTTTCAAATTTGATCTTGAAAAGTTATTAATTACAAATATGGAAGTATTTTTGTGTAGAGGGTATTACATTGTCGGATTCTCTCGACTGTTTCATTCTCTCTAGATATTTACTATCAATTCAAAATATCTACATAATCTTTACATATTAGTGCTTTCACACTTAAACTTTGTAGAGCTGCTGTAACACGCTTTGAAATGTTACTTAATTTCCATTTTGATTAAAAATTTGTTATTGATTCACACATTTAGCGAAATTAATAATATCACATACTCGTTTATAGATCTAGAACTTGTCGTTTTATTTCTCCTGAGTAAGCAAACCCCAACATTATCGCTTTGTTTATTAATTTTAACTAATTGCAAGCAAGAGATCTGCATTTTTTATTTATAAGTCTGCCATATTTGTTGTATGTGACAAAATAGTTTGCCAATTATTTGCATGTCAAACAGTGCCTTAATTTGATTTTCTTATCATTTAGCGAGGTAGTCATTTGTTCTGGCCGCTAGTGTAAAACGTGTCGGCGTACCCAAACTTTTTGCTAGTCTAGTGTGCTTGTGTTATTGAGGCTGGCTTCTACCGCTCCTATTTACATACATACATATATATATGTATGTGATGTATGTATTAATATTAGCGAAATTAGCTTCTCGTAAGCTATTTTTTCGTGTTGACTGCATTTTATCTTTATTATTGTGGCCCCCTCTTTTTGTTTTGTTTGTGTAGTCGGAATTTGCTTGGTCACTGCAACTATGTAGGTTTAGGCTCGATTTACAATCACGGCAATCACCGAGATTAGAGGAACGGCATACATCAGCACTCACCTGGCCAAATAGCGATCCACATGAGGTGTCAGGTAGGCCTCCGCACAGGCTGTGTAACCGCGAGCGACTAATCGGCACATTGGCATGGCCTCATGGGAGAGGGTGACGTGGCTGAAGCCCAACTCCCGAGCGATGGCGCCGATGCGACGCTCGTGCTCCGGACAGGCATAGCTGTGGGCCAGCACCACAGCTACGGAGGAGATGCCCTGCTCGAGGGCATCTGCGAGAGATTTCCTCACCGCTGCCTCATCGACTGACTTCATTTCCAAGTATTTAGTGCCAGCGACGCCCTCCAAAACATTCCAGTTGTGTGCTGCGACAAAACAAAAACAATTCTCAAGAAATCAATAAATTGTCTTCGCAAGACAGCCTACACACGCACTCAGTTGGCAGCGGTCCCTCTGCTCCGGCACTATGCGACAGTCAACCTCGACGACGGTCTTGTACAGATTTTCAGGTTTTCTTATGTTTAAGTCGAATATTTTTGGTCGTGCCTGATTGCCGATGTAGAGGAGGTCGCGAAAGCCACTGTTACAGACCAGGACCACAGGATCGCCTTTGCGTTCGAGGAGCGCATTTGTAGCCACAGTGGTGCCCATGCGCACCCAACCAATCTTAGAGGTATCGACGAGTCCGGAGGGCGCCAGGTCAGCCCCAGTTTCCTGCAAAAAGTCAACTTCTGAAGCTAGCGCCAAGGTATAAGCTGGCCGGCGTGCTTACCTCCTTTAGTATGCGACGAATCCCTTCCCGCGGGGCATCGCTGTAGCGTTCCGGGTCCTCTGACAACAGCTTCATCGTCCGCACACGACCGCCAGGGCAGATGCATAGCACATCGGTGAAGGTGCCTCCACGATCGATGGCGAAACAATATTTGTCGCCACTTGTGGACAAAACGTTTGAGGAACCGTCGGGCGGAGACATTTTTTGTAAATCGTCTGACTTGCAAGAGAGCGAGTCGCTCAATAACTAAATTCTGAATGTCTACCGCTTGCCGTATATATAGTAAGTGTATGTAAATACCTTTTTATCTGTTCCAAAGCTTTTTCACTTGCACTTGTTTGATTAGAACGTCGAGCGATCTACTTCTAAATCATAAAGCTTCGCAGCCCTCCCGCTCACACTTATACATATATACATATATGTACGTACTGTAAGCTTTCACACATAGTATATATTCATAACAGACCAGTGTTGCCAATTCTTGAGTGTCGCCAAAAGCTCCATCAATAATTGGAGAAAAAAAGCTAGAAAATGCCAAAAATATAGAGCTGAAATACCTTAAGTTTTCATTGATATCATTCCGAAAAGGAAACTTAGGCTCTAACTCCGAAAACTCTTTCGTTCGAGTTTTTTAAGATTAAGTTTTTCTTGAAAAAATGCATGTACATTAGTCAATTTTATTTTACCGCCCTTAATATAAAAGTATATTTGGAGTATGTGTCTCCAAAAGCTCCATCAATAATTTAAGAAAGAAAGATAGAAAATGCCAAAAAATATAGAGCTGAAATACCTTAAGTTTTCATTGATATCATTCCGAAAAAGAAACTTAGGCTCTAACTCCGCAAACTCGTTCGTTTCAGTTTGTTTTCCTTGAGAAAATGCATTGGTCAATTTTATTTTACCGCCCTTAATATAACAGTATATTTGGATTATGTGTCGCCCAAAAGCTCCTTCAATAATTGGAGAAAAAAGCTAGAAAATGCCAAAAAAAATATAGAGCTGAAATACCTTAAGTTTTCATTGATATCATTCCGAAAAGGAAACTTAGGCTCTAACTCCGAAAACTCTTTCGTTTCAGTTTGTTAGGACGAAGTTTTTCTTAAGAAAATGCATTGGTCAATTTTGTTGTACCTCCCTAAATATAACAGTATATTTGGGTTATGTGTCGCCAAAATTGGAGAAAAAAAAGCTAGAAAATGCCAAACAAATATAAAGCTGGAAGGCCTTAATTTTTCTTTGATATCATTCCCAAAAAGGAACTAGGGCTCTAACTCCTAAAACTCTTTCGTTCCAGTTTGTGAAGATGAAGTTTTTCTTGCGAAAATGCACGTGCTTGGTCAAATTTTTTTTACCGCCCTAAATCTAACGATATACTTATTTGGATTATACATTTCTCTATCAAAACTATAATAGAAAATCCTAGGGATAAAAACGACACGACAACAAACAAGTACTACAGACAAAAACACAGTTGGATCAATATGGATCAAAAATATTAACACATTTATATATTTTTAACTATACCATGAAGGTAAAAGGTTCAGTAAAAAGCTGAAGGATTTCTATTCTAGGATTTTTTGTTAGTAAAAGTAGGTGGCTTTACTTCCACAAACGCTTTCAATTCTGACAGCCGCCATCAGCATACAAAAATCTCCAGAGCTGGCGGGAAAATAGCCAAATTTACAGCTCTCCTACATAATATCTATACATCGATAAAAAGAGTAGATAAATTGTACGGGTATGCGTTGACAAAGGTGAGAAGCTCTGTGGATGGCGCGGCAAATGTGAATTTTTGTTTTGAAAGATTTTTGGTTTTCATGATTTTCATTTCGCTTGCCATCCGGAGCCTCATAAATGCGCACAAAAAATAAAATTGTATCGTCACTTTACTACTCAATGGTGACATCAATGAAATTTAATGGCTTATAAAATGTGGCAATAAAACACATCCTTCGAGGACGTTTATAAGCGGTACAAATATTTTTTTCTGCGTACACACAATACTTAACATGAAATGCTCCCAAAAGTATCTTTCAGATTGCAGCATTCCGTTTGCCACGAATGGGGATCCATCTTAATTTTTTTTTTCCTTCTTCACAGCCGTTTCTACCACAAAAATATCTGAGGCTGGGGCATACTCGTATATGCCAGCATTTGCACAATTTTTATTTACGAGCGCGCCGAAAAGGCAATCAATAAATGTAATAATTATGTAAATGTGACACACCAAGTTTTCTATTCGAGTTTTTTCTGGAGAGAGTATTTTAGCTTTAACGTTATGTTTGCAACGCCAGTAAAATAAAGTATGCAGACGACAATTTATGATAGAGATGCGATAACAATTGTCAAGGTAGATACGTTTTGTTGCTTCACTTTATAAATATTTATTAATAATTATGCTTCCTTTTTATTACCTATTTTATGAAATTAAGTTAAGAGGCTACGGTCAAGTCCAATAAAATTCAGCACTTTACGAAGTTCAAACAATCTTCAGACCAAACGTTCATTAAGGCGAAACGCTTCAAACATAAAACACAAGGGTTTCGCATTTAATTCAAAACGACGAACGGCAGCGAAACAAAATTATCCCCAAATTATCGACTTAGGGCTTTCATGGTTCATTGGTTTCTTTGTGAACACATTTTTCACCAAGAAATGGTTAATTCTGATTGAAAAGTTGGCAGGTAGAATGTTGAAGTTTTTTATCATCTCCAATTAACTCGCAAAAAGGATCTGGGTCGTTAGAATACGATTAAATAAATTTGCTCATCAATTTATTATTGAATATGTTTTGCTTAACATTTCTGCCAGTTAACCTGTTAAGCACGTAAATAAATTTACAAATTGGGGAGATTAATAAAAAGAAATCATTATTTCATTGGGAATATTAAAGGCTGAAGTCACAAGGAATCCATACATATTTCCATTTTCAAATGGCATGGAGAAATGATTGTTCCAATATAGGGTCCAGCTGCGAAACGTTTTAATGTTCTTATACAAAAATATTTAAATTTTACTTTTAGAAAATCTTTGGGTTATTTTAATGAAGTTCAGATGTCCAGCTTAAAGATATTTCTCAGTAATTCTTAGTCGAACTTAAAGGAACCTGCCCGATTTGATCATTCCTCGCAAAGGATATAAACCGTAAATAAACAACAATAGAGAATTTTCAATATTAACACCAAATTAATATTATCTATTCATTTCTTTTAATATTCACAGAAAGCTGAAATTGAGCAATCGGTTAAAAAGGAAAAGTCGGTTGTGTCGAATTATTTCTTTTAAAATATATTAATGCATTTATTTTCGAATAGCTCAAAGGTGTTTTGGAGTTACTGTTACTGTTGCTTGTTACTGCAACTTTTCTGGTCTATGTATTCAATTGTCTAATTCATCTAAATATGCACGTTAAATAGATATCGTTATGAACTTTGGACTTAACACGGTTGCTTGGAATACATATCGATATATGAATAAGTATCTTGCTTTGCTTGGTTTTTGTTTTTGTTTTTTGATTAAACTGTTAAACATTTATCAATTAAATGGCTTAGAACTTTATTCTTGAGTGCACAAATGCTTAATTCACTTTTTCAAACTTTTTATTGTGCATCCGTGAGGGGCTTTGCTTATAAGTGTTGGTTTATTTTGAATAAACATTCATACATTCATCTTTATTATGTGTGTACTTGTATTTAGCGTTAAGTATTGTTCATCTTTTTTATTTGTAATTGTTTAATAGAAATTGTCCAAACAGTTAGGATTAATGCTTCCAACTGCAAAATAACATCTCTTATTAACTTAATTCGTTTGTTTAGTTTCTATGTAACTATTTATAATTGATTACATATTTTGAATAAACCCCTTTGTTTCCATAAAGCGACAAAGCGGCTGGATTTTAAGCGGATTTTTTACACCAAAATTTAAAAACGTGTGCCTGCGTGTGTTGAGTAAGTCGCAATAAAATTAAATAGAAATTGACTAACCTATTGGGAATTTCCAAAAATTGTTGATAATACTCATAAGGCTCTATTTGATCCGGACAAGTTTTATTTTTTTTCAACTACTCACAATCAGTGCAGGCTGGTTCTTGATTAAAATAATTTGTGGGACTACTTAGAAGCAGGAACCGGGAAGCGGAAAATGTAACTTCGATGTTTTGTGACTGCATTGGTGCAATGATCTGAAACCGAATGATTCGCCTACGAATTCGCTTTAACAGAAGATATTTAACACGTTGTTGCTGTTGTTGTTCATTGTAAGTAAGCAGAACACGGTGGGTTAACTGTGCGAAATCAAATTCCGAGACTTTTGAGCATTCTTGCAATTGTAGAACTACCTTGTGTAATACCTTGTGTGTATCCATATTGCTCTTACTCTAGGATGGTTTGAGTTTCGTGTAAAGTTGGAGTATACTTTCAAAATACTTGTATGACAGGCCTGTTATTTACATATACCTATCGGTTTATACTTATTTAATGTTGTCCTTTAATTTCGGCCTTGTGGATAGGAGGTGCTAGAGATTTTTGAAAATTTTCAAGTATTCTTTTGGAAATCTGATCGATGTGCTGCCAATCTGTTGTGGCGACATTTCAATGCTGCCTCTACCACTAAATACAGAGCCGCAGTTTAGTTTTAAAATACTCAAAAATTATTATCAATTTGTGTGGTTTTTGTTTAGTTGCTCCATTTATGTCTCTAACGTATTAAATATAGATTTAATTATGTATATGTATACATATATGTATATAGTATATTTATTTGTGTATATATTTTTATTTGTATTTGTATGTATATGTTAAAGTAATTTATTTAAAGTAATTTCGTTTACATTTTATCTGTTTTTTGAAGTTGTTTTTAATTTGACACTAATTTATTTTTGCTTTACTTCTCTTTATAGGTTTTCCTTTTTTAAAATTGTATTTTCGTATTTAACTTTTTCGTTTTCTGAAATAAAACATCGTCTTAAAAATGCATATTACCTTCATTTATTAAACAAAAGCATCGCCTTCGAAAGACACACCCAATGATTTCAGTTAGCTTGGCTGTTGCAAGTGCTTCAATATGAATAATTTCGTCCTCGAAAGCTTAATAATCGTGTACAGTAAAGTTTACAGTTAGTCCCTAAAGGTCCGCTCATCAATTTCCATATAGCGCATAGAAATAATTCACTACCAAAACCGATCATTCATCCTTTGATCAAGAAAGAAGCGTGCTCTCAAATCGGCACATTCTATTCAATTCGATTCGATTCGATTCCATTTGACTTTTATTGTATTTCAAAAATGGTGTCTTGTTCGTTCGTTAGCTTAATTATTTTGTGTCTTTAAAAGAAGGAGGCGGGGCAAATCGTAGTCGGTCAGGTTGGACCATCAGTGCGCGGCTTGTAGAAGTCGTAGTGTTAAACGCCTTGGGCTAGACTCTCCTTGGGCAATGCTATGATCGACTGATCCACAGTCTGGTGTGGAATTATGAATGGCGAGGCCAGCATTTGTATGGGACTGTAAAGAAATATAATCGAAATATACTCTCAGGCATGTTATAAAATCCGCTTTGAATCAAATTATAAATAAATTGTTAAATATTTTCAATTTAAAAAGTATTCTCTAATATCGATTCTAATGTTGTTTTTTAGATCTAGAATTCTGTCGATATCTTATTCGTTTTTGTGAACAATTTCGTTTCCGCACAAATAAATCGAATTCGGAAAAGGGTGTAGAAAATATTAATGGTCTAACGATGGTTCTTCTTACTGATGGTTCTTATAATGATATGAGCATTATCTTATTCGACAAAACAAATGAAATAGTGGCATTTAGAATAAACTATTGTTTTTTAATTTAATTGATAATATTTAATTTAATATAAATTAATTTTTAATACACCTAGTCCTCGCTTAACACGGGGGTTGCGTTCCTGGAAAACCTACGAGGTTTTAAGCGAAATCGTGTCCATACAAAATATAGGGTTACGTTCCTAGCTTTCGACAAATGCACAAACAAGTTTTGCTTTTAAAATGTCCACTGTTTAAAAACATTTTCTGAATTAACAAAAAGTTACTCCAAGTGTTGAACATTTATAATTAACAGATTCATCTTCTAAAAACGGAAAATATTTTGAAGTGTAAAAAATATAAAATTTCAGAACTATTTGAGAACCATTTGCCAATTCCGTGTTGAAATTTTTTTTCTTTTTCCTCTTTCTCGAAAAGAAAGAAATTTCAGAACTATTTGAGAACCATTTGTCATTTGACATTTCCGTGTTGAAATTTTTTTTCTTTTTCCTCTTTCTCGAAAAGAAAGCGTTTTGCGGATGCAAACAACCGCTGGTCATAACTTCTACCAATATACATTTTATGTTGTCTCCTAAAATAAACAATTCAGGGAAATGTGAAATTTTTTTCCAGTACTGATTACACCGATGGAGTCAGTTTCTGTTGTATCCGAAATGATAATCCCCTAAAATACGCGTAATAGTATGTTTCTGGTAACTTTGATTTTAAAATTCAGATTAGGTAGTATTTATAGCATATTCTTGGACATATTCCCGACAAACAAAAACCAGGGAGCTAAAGTAATACGCTTTTTTTTTTAAATATTTGTCAACTTCTATCGTGTAAGAACGAGGTTTTCAGCGCGTTAAAAGAGAAAAGGTAGGAAATTTTTAAGCGTGTTAGACCGAGTTAAAAGTGGTCGTGTTAAGCGAAGGCTAGGTGTATAATCGATGGCATTGATGGTGAGTTCTAACTAACCACCAAGTGGTAGCCGATAGCTTGATAGATCTAATATTATTGCAAAGTACAATTATCAGGGACTGTAATCATTATAAGTGTTCTGAAAAAGTTATAGTTATAATGATTATTTTTTAATTTTATTCATTCGCTCACAATTTAATGATTAATTTTGAGTTTTACTTTAAAAATTGACCAATAATCATTATTGATGAGCAAAAAATAGAAAAAAAAATGATTATGCTTTGAGTTTTTTTTTATCAAAAATAAAATTGAAGCTGTATTTTTGTCTTTTTCTTAAGGATAAAGGACAAAATTAATATACTTATACTTACTTTATATACTTAATCAGTGAGTCAAAGCACACATTTTTTAATAATTAATTTAAGGATATATATAAATTTTGTGCTCAATCCTTATAAAAAAGAAATAATTACAATTCATTAAATTAAAAAAATTAAAACTCAAAGCATAATCATTATTTTTTATGTGCTATTGTTTTGCTCATTACTAATGATTATTGGATAATTTTTTAAGTAAAACTCAAAATGAATTATTAAATTGTGAGCGAAAAAAAATTCACAAATGAAAAAGGATATCCGTAAACTCCTCGCTTTCTCAAAGTTACCATAAGTGTATGATTTTTTCGTTAAAAAAAAAACAAACAAAATATTCATTATTTGTGGTCCCTGACAATTAAAATGTCAAAATACCTGTTAAAAAAGATTGGAAATAATTAAGCTAGAACACTTACTCGGCGAAGCTGGCGGTGGTGACTACCGGACTGCGTACGGAATGCAAGGACTGCGAGTTTTTGGCGCGTGCTAGGAGGCTCATTACTGTGCGCTTTGTGGGATTCATGCCGGTGCGCGGGACGCCCAGAAGCGGTCGCTTTCGGCCCAATCCACTACCTGGAAAGGAGGCTATAAACTAAGAGCTGTAGGTTATTTTTCTCGGGTCGCTATAAATCACCTATGTTAATTGCCTTGACGCTGCGTAGTGCGGGGTGCAAAAGAGTGCCAGGTGGGTCGAGTAGTGTTAATGCTGATGTGGTGGGATCGGCGTCTCCGGGCATTTGCAGGCCACTGGCATTGGGTTGTGTGGAGGGCAAGCCCGCCATGGTCGCACCTGTGCCCGCGGCTGGCTTCAGCAGACCACCAATGCCGATGCCAGCGGCTGTCAGTTGATGCTGCAGTGCGACCGCCATAGCCGTGGTATGCACTAGAAGGGTTCAATTAGAATTTCACTCTACCCCGCCTGTACAAGAGCTGCTACTTACAAGCCGTTGCCGCCGCGGATGGTGTTTGTCCAGGCATGTGATCCCCACAGCCGCCTGTTAGACCAGCAGCTACTGCTGTGGCAGCTCCATGTCCATGAGCATGGCCATGGCTATGACCATGTGCCTGAAGCAGCTGATGGAAGTGCGTGGGCTGATGGTGTTCGTTGCTGTTACAGGACTGGCTGCAGTCCAGCTTGTCGGGTGAAATGCAATCCATGCCACTGACGCTCGCCTCGTTGTCCGATTTGTCGTCGTTCGATGTGTCCATGTCGGCCAGGCCGCCGCCCAGACCTCGGTTGGTGGGGCTTTGCGAGTCATCGAGGTGGCTGAGTGTGGGCGTGGACGTCAAAGCTTGCATTTCCCACATCTGCTCCTGCCGGATCTCGTCGTGGTAGTCCTACAAAGTAGATGACCAAATGAATGCAGTGGAGATTAGCGTTCGTCCTTTTTGAAGTGCGGCGACGCGTCCTTTGCAATTTGCAGGCACGCCCGCAGGCGCCTCTGTGCAGGACAGCAGCACGACACGGCCTCATGCTTCGCTGAGCAATTAAATTTAATTCAACCGTTTCTCTACGCGTAATAAATGCGAATTTTATTGGATGTCAATTAAAAGTTTGCGAGGCCGGCCATGTCACACCGTCCAGTACGTGAGAGATGTACATGTGTGTGTGTGTGTGTGTCTGCGGGCGTGTTCGTGCGTTTGGGCGCTCAAGTGCGTGTGTATATACTTGTATAGTACTCGTATATATCCATTCATTCGGATATACAAACGTATGTATGTACATATATAAAAGTATGTGGGTAATACAATTATGTACGATACAGCAATGGAGGAGCATCCTTGCTGGTTGCTTTAGCTTTTTATGTAACGCAGGTGCGCAGAAGCCAGCATTGTTTGGACCAAGTTGTGTCTGAATGCCCCATAATTAACAGCTCTAATGTGGCGAATATATAAGATGCACGTGTACGTGCCCGCAGACAACAACGAGTTATTTAATTTCAAAACACCGCTAAGTGGAGGCATAACTTTGAAGGGTTCTTCGAGCTACACTTCTAATTAAATGGCTTTGTAAAGTCTATGGCGACAGCACTTTAGTTTTCTCATCTTGTACTTCAGTTCCCATTTGTACTTTCCAAAATCTAGGGCAACTTAACTTGATTGCATTTATTTATTTATTAAATACAACTAAATATGAAAGCCATACAGCAATAAAATTTTAATATTCAATAACGCCTGGATTGAATTTTATATCCTGCACTCGAAGGGAGCTCGTGTATTCAGCATTCAACACGTTTCTTATTTAAGTTCACATATGCGTTTCAATATTTTTGATAATTTAATTATTTATGAAAAATATTATAAAATGACTAGTTATTTGTAATTAAAAAAATGTTTACAAATAACACATAAAAATTGCGCCAACTACTTGTATATAATCCTTAAAAAGGTAAAATGCTCGTGAAGGTAATTAACAATCGCAAACGATTTTCCCCGCATATACTATATGTATGTAGGTACTTATTCATTGAACAAAAATTGCTATTAATATGCAACTAGCTTAAGCTGATATATTGGTAGCAGAATACTGGTTTAATAAATTGTATATACTTTTTTTTTTTTAGAAAAAATTGAAAATAAGTATAGCATAGTGTAGTATATAAGTATAGCCCTAGGGTTCCATTTTAAAAATACTTTTTGCAAAAGTGAATTACAAATAAAGTAACGGTCTATTCGATCAATTTTATTTACATATATACAATTTATTAAACCAGTATTCTGCTACCATTATGGCAGCTTAAGCTAGTTGAAAATTAATAGGGACATATATTTAAGATTTATTCTATATATTTTACACAAGGGATCTCGTGTGGAGAGCCTTTGGATGGCACTTCTTCAGTCTTCTCTTCCTGGGTCTGGAGAGCAGGTTATAAAAAAAAGTATTTGAAACAAAATTGAAAATAAGTATAGTATAACATATCCCTAGGGTTCCATTTTTAAGGCTGCTGTCTTTGTCACGTTTTAAAATACTTTTTCAATCAATGAAGGTTATTAAAACAAAAATAAGAGAATAAAGTTGAAAAAAACTGATAAAAATTATTCAAATCATCTCAATAAATAAAAAAATATATAGATATAGTATTTACTCGTACTTGTCAAGTTTTGTGAAACTTTTTAGAACATTTTAAAAGACAATTGAAATTGATTTAAATTCAGATTTTTGTTTTGTTGTAATTTAAAAATAACAATACTGAGTTAGTTTGAAGTCACCTTAATAAGTCTAACTTGAATACTAATGGCGTACTTGATGCTTTTGTAACGATTTGGTAGCTATTGTTAGGTTAGGTTGCGATGGTCCGCCTAAATAGGCCAAAGGAGGCCCGCTACGATGCCATATAATCTCTTTGGAGATGATATGATGGTTCGCCCCAAACCACCTGGAACATTTGAGGAATTTGATTAAGCTCGCAATCTCAATACTGTGTATTTCTGCTAGATTGCTAAGAAGTGGTCGCCCTAGTGTAGCTAATCTTCGCCTGCTTAAGGCAGGGCAGTGACAGAATAGGTGCTCTGTGCTTTCCTCCTCTTCTAGGTCTCTGCTTCTGCAGAAATCATTATGTGGGATGCCAAGTCTGGCGGTAGTATCAGTGTCTGTGTCAGTGAGATTTCTGTTCTACTTAGCGGCTGAGCAGTTCATTTTGCGTCCAAAGCTGGCCAAGTAACTATTGTTTCTAAGCTCAATATTCTTCAAGTGTGTTTGTGTCTTTGTGTTGTTTTATTGTTTCCTTTTGTTTGATAAAACCGTCACAAAATTCTCGTTGATAAAGTGCCTCAATTGCACACAATTCACACACATCGTGTCCGAAACGGCCATCTAAGATTCCTCATCTACGAGATTCTTCCTTCTCGAACGCAAACATTGTACAAATCACAGGAAATTCATCTTAACTACGCATTCTACATCTGTTTGTGAGTGTGCCGAAAAACTGTTAGTTTCCTTTTGACATGGGGCTGTGGTGCAGTGCAGAGGCTCAAAAGGCCTAAGCCTAGATAGACCCCAGCAATTTTGGAGCAAATTTGTATGCAAATTTCTAATCAGATGAATGCTAAAATGGACAGAGTGGACGGGGCGGGGCGTAGCAGAGAAAGTTTATGATATTGACAGCTGTGTATCAAAGTGTCACCAGGTCGCCGATATATTGGAGTACCGGATGTGTGCCACATTTGCATAAATGTGTCTGACTACTACATACATGTGTGTATGTATGTTTGTTGCATGGAGTGGTTGCCCTTTGTGGTGCGTGTGTGATGTGTGGCCAACAGAAAGTTAGGCAAACAACACAACTTGGCTAAATATATTGTGCCATATTTCGGGCCACCAAAACTTTCCTCAACTGTGCGTGTAAACATTTATTGTTTACAAAGTGGTCGCTTTGTTTTCCCTGCCAGTGAGGCCTCGGAACTTGTTGTTTACGCTTTAATTATAAATCCAAAGTCAATTAATCTGCAATGAATGGCAAGCATAGACAGCAAACAAAACAACTAATTGTTTAATTAAAATTTTACCATAATCCAGGCTTGAAGCACTTCGATCACACTTCACTGTAAGTGCGGGAATTACGTGCTGAAGTGCCGGACGGAAGGAAATTCTTTGACATGCTTAACCACGGATATTTTGAGCATAAATATTCAATTGCCTGAGCAGCGAATTAGTATATTACAGTGAAACCTCTCTTGGCTGGACACTCACTGTCGATCAACTTTTGTCCGGCCAAGGGGAGTGTCCGGTTAAGAGGATACTCAGAAATTTCAGATAGAACTAAAAGCAATATGAACAAGAGAGAACGCTACAGTCGTTACCCAGGTAAACTTCCGTCACTGAGTTATATGCGCCCATAGCAGAAGTAAAAAGAGGAAGAAGAGGAGCGAACTTGTTGCTTCAGTTTGGGGGGGTTGTACTGGAGAGAATTAGTTTCACTATTAACTATTCTTAGAATTAACCGATTTAGATCAAATTTGAAACAAAAGTAGACTAGTATTGGTATTGTTAATGTAACTTTTGAAATGTGGATGGTATTGACAAAATTCTGTAGCGGGGGAAGGGAGGGAAAATTCCAAAAAATAAATTAAACTTGTCCTTTCTCGGACATAGGAGAATCTGGATACCAACTTTGGTTATTCTAGCTTTTATAGTTTCTGAGATCCTTGCGTTCATCCAGGCAGACGGACAGACAGACAGGCGGACGGACACGTCTAGATCGATTTCTCTCGTCATGCTGATTCAGAATATATATACTTTATGGGGTCGGAGATGCTTCCTTCTGCATGTTACATACTTTGCACAAACCTAGTATACCCTTTTTACCCTACGGGTACAGGGTATGAAAATAAGAAACTATTTTGCATACATTTGAAACGTCCATTACCGAAAGGTACGCGTCCGGTCAAGAGAGTGTCCGCACAAGGGAGGCGAACTTGCTCTAAAAAGTACACCAAAACGAATGTTCTAGAAAGAAGAAGTGTCCATCTAAGAGGGGTGTCCGGTTAAAAGAGGTGTCCGTTAAGGGTGTTTTCACTGTATCTTATAATCGAGTATTCACAATTTATCGTTAGTATTATCAGTATTACTAGTAACATATTTAATTATGACTATTTTAGTTCTTGGAAACTGAGTTCGTGCAACCGAGTTTTGGCGAAATTTATCTCAGGTGCCTCATTTCTCTTAAAATGTTATTTTTTATGATTTTGCACATAAAAATCCCGGGATGGCTAAACATTATGACATTATATGGGTTTCTTCCCCATAATAGTCTCTTGTCTATGCTTGGGCATCATGCAATTTTTCTGATTTCTGAAGAAATAAATGATCATAAAATTGTGCATGACTGGCACTTTGGTTAATAATCGTTATGTTTTTCATGTTCCTGTAGCCAGTTCATGAAGAAATATTGTTCGCAAAATGGACTTTGGTAAATTGCTTGTACGAGTCCGAAGTATACTATATAAGCGGCAATTGTTTGCATCTCGAGTGCGAGAAACCCAACAATGGTCGATGCACATGCTATGGCGTGATAGAAGCCATGCACTGGACACAAGGAACGACAGTGAAGATGCCGGGATGGGCAGAGTGGAGTAGAGTGGAGCCGAGCCGAGCAGAGCAGAGCAGAGGAGAGCACGGCAAATGTAATTACATCACAATGCAATTTAGTTAGCGCAGTTACAAGGGCGCAAGGGGGCGGGCACTGGATGCCAAGGAACACTAACACGGCACGCCAACTCGATAACGAGTCCTTGCTGGAAGCAGTTCCTGCTTGCAGCTGTTGCAGCTTCTTTAAGTTTTTGCTCAAGCATACTTTAAGATGTTGTGTGTACTCAAGAAAACTTTACGGTGCTTTGTGTGCACCGATGGGAACAAGTTTAATCATTTGGGAAGGCAGGACAAGGATGATTTTAATGCCTGTCCGCACAGACAATTGTGGGCACTCACCGGAACCAAAAACCGTCGCACTTCCGCCAGGGCGTAGGCAATGCGCGCGTGTGCCTCGGCCGGGGCCGCGAATGTTGAAATCTCCACGTGTAGGTCCTCAAAGAGGTGGGCGTATCGGCTGTCTCCACTGGCTCGCAGCTCCTCCTCCTTCCGGCGATCCCTCATCGAGCCGCGCCCCAGCACAGCCATTTTGCACATTGTGTCCTCCTGCAGTCGCTTCATTGAGTTGCCTTTTGGTCCCAGTAGCTTGCCAACGAAATTGAACTTGGGGGAAAATAGGGGAAGGTTAATATGATAAGGATGTCTTGCTGCTCAATTTGCTTGGCTTTTGCTTACCTTGGGATGATCGCGCACCGGAACTGCCACTTTAACAGCGACCTTAACCGGCTTGTCTCGCGTAATGTCTAGCATTTTGAGTTTCTCTGCAAATGAAAGGAAAGTTCAAACCAAATAGATAAAAGCCAAAAGTTAAAACGATACACAGCTTATTTATTTCTTAAACAGAAGTTTTTCTTTAAATATTCATCATCTTCGTATTTAAACTAACCCTTTCAAACTGTCTGAAAGCAACTGTTTCTTAGAAGCACAACGGGAACAAAATTAATAAAAATATCACGTGGATTTTGGGATTAGAAAGGTACTTTCATTATCGAGGAAACAAATTGTTATTTGTTTACGTAAAATCCTAGCAAGACCCACACTTTAATATTTTATTAATTTTCTTGCTTAACTCGTAAACGAGAAAAGGTTTAAATTAGGTATTTCTCCAATATTATATAAGTTTTAGTTTATGTTATACTAGCAGGTCCTGTCCGTTTTACAATGAAGATTATAAGTTTATTTACAATATGATATTTTTCATCCGACACTCTCTAATGTTTCTAAAGGAACTGCCAATAGTAAATTACTTTGGTTCGTTCCGAAAGCTAGGGCATATAGAACAATACATACTATTTACATACCTATGTACATATGTATATTGTATGAATGTAAATTTATGAAAAATAAAAATTATATTTTTAAATTGAATTGTGAAATTTCTGATAAATTAAATAAAAATACATATTGTGCGCGCCCTCCTCTGTGATTCTCATACCAAGTACCTAAGCGCTGGCAAATCGAGAATTAATTTGTGAAATTGGTGAATAATTAAATAATAATATTGTGAAATTGAATTGTGAAATTTCTGATAAATTAAATAAAAATACATATTGTGGGCGCCCTCCTCAGTGATTCTCATACCAAGTACCTAAGCGCTGGCAAATCGAGAATTAAATTGTGCAATTTGTGAAAAATTAAATAATAATATTGTGAAATTGAATTGTGAAATTTCTGATAAATTAAATAAAAATACATATTGTGCGCGCCCTCCTCTGTGATTCTCATACCAAGTACCTAAGCGCTGGCAAATCGAGAATTAAGTTTGAAATTTGTGAAAAATTAAATAATAATATTGTGAAATTGAATTGTGAAATTTCTGATAAATTAAATAAAAATATTGTGGGTGCCTTCCTCTGTGATTCTCATACCAAGTACCTAAGCGCTGGCAAATCGAGAATTAATTTGTGAATTTTCTAAAATAATAAATAATAAATTTGTGGATTTAAATTGTGCGTTTTCTGACAAATTAATTTCTGAAAAGTTAAATAATAGCATTGCATGAACTTTTGTATATAAATACAAAAAAGTAACTTAATATTAAAACCCCAATAATTCAAGCTCCAAGAAAATTGTTAAAATTTGTTGTCTAATTTGTCTAAATTTCAGCTTCCTAGCTTTTACCGTTTGGGCTGTTGATCGCCAAGCAGTCTTTTATATATATAGAGATATATTGTTTTTCAGATGAAAAATACTCGAAACAATCAAGCTGAAAGCTTAAGCGGCCAGAGGCGATTTATAGAGAGACTCGTAGCCATGTCCCCTTTATGTCAAAGGTGGGGGGATGTGTTCGAGCTTTCTGTTCTTGCTGTTTGTAACTAATTAAGCAAAATGCTTCTGCACACAACAAACTGGTGGCGGGGAGGGAGGGAGGAAGGGAGGATGGGGGCCATCCACAGTGGAACAGTAAATCTGTTGACATGCCCAAACATAAAAACATTTTTGTTTGCTCTTCAGCTTAAGTCTAGGCAAGACAAGGACTGGCAGTTACAAACACAGATACGCACATATACTGGCACGTTTACCAACACTCATTAGCAGGTGAAATGGCTTTCTTAACACCTTCGTCGTTGCTGCTGCTGCTGCTGCTGGATGCCACTGCTGTTGGTGTTGTTGCTACTGACTGCTGATGTTGATGCCACAGCGCTGCATTTGCTTATGCCGTCGGCACACATTCCCCCACAGTTGTGTGAACTTCGAAGACTGGGCGAATGACTGAGTGACTGAGTGACTGAGCAACTGACTGACTGAATGCATCGCCTTGTCAGTGGCAGCAACATAAGTAGTTGGCAGTTGTCAGGAAAGTGCACTTTGCCGGCAATGTAAGACACACACACAAGCACACGCGCACTCACATGTACATGCTACACAACTACAAGTATATGCGCTATTTTGGATCTGGCAAATGCATAAACAGGTACAAAAATGTGAATTTTAGGCCTGCGCTTCCATTTGCGTAGATATGTACATATATACATACAATGTACATACTTATATATGTATGTGCGTTAATTGTTGCCACCGCTTCAAAAAAATAACACGCCTCATCAAGTCTGCGGTGTAGCATTTATTTTTAACTGCCTTCACAACATCCGAATGAAAGCAAACGCTCTCGTTAGGACTAGGACAAAAATTGTAAATGTCTTCAACAGATTGTGCAACCGAGCGTATACGTAACGTGTGTTTATTGTGTAACGATGTCTGATTACGTTCTGGCTATAAATAAGCCATTGATATGTCGCCTTGGCAGGTAACAAGCTTTAATCGATTTTTTAACCATCTATTGCAAATAGTACTTGCCATCGTACAAAAGTATTATAATATTCTTGTTACTTTTTGGAGAGCAGATTATTGTGGAGCATTTCTAAATCAAAGAAGTTTTCTTAATGAATCAACGTTTCGATGTACAGGTCTGATTTAATTAGTCTCAATATGAGTTAAATTATTAATCTGTAGAGCAGTAATACAATCTGCATCAATCTCCATTCTAAATACATTTAAATTTTATTCTCCAAATCTTTGCTAAATGATTATAAGTATTTATCATTAATAGTACATGATAAATGATATTTATTCATTACCTTTGACCGCAATATGAAATTATTTACTAAGTTTTGGATATGCAGAGTTTTTAAATATAACATTATAGCAACGATACGATTTCTATGGCAACTGAAAAAATCCAAAATCTGTCCAAATGTATCTATATTATTGTTTATTTTAAGATTTGTAATTTAGAATTAATCTACAATCACAAAATTTGATACATATAAAAATATATGTATAGCCAGAGCGGCGAAGGCCTTCTGGCTATATCTGTGCCTATAAAATTAAGGATAACCCTGATTTATATGATCAAGACCTATGTAGAACAATTGACAAATGACAGCAAAGGGTGAGTTTTCATTTATGTATATATGCTGGCTTCTGTGTGTTTATGCACAAGTATAGTATATATGTATATGGGTCTATATTACAAGTATATACACACCAAAATAAATATTGTAATGAGTAATAAAAAAGCATACAAAATACATTGTGAAAAACAAAGTACAATTTGTACATGTGTAAACAACTTTTCAAAACATATATCGGCTCATCATTTTTATACCCTGTACCCGTAGGGTAAAAAGGGTATATTAGGTTTGTGCAAAGTATGTAACATACAGAAGGAAGCATCTCCGACCCCATAAAGTATATATATTCTTGATCAGCATGACGAGAGAAATCGATCTAGACATGTCCGTCCGTCTGTCCGTCTGTCCGTCCGTCTGTCCGTCTGTCCGTCTGGATGAACGCGAGGATCTCAGAAACTATAAAAGCTAGAATAACCACAGTTGGCATCCAGATTCTCCTAGATCCGAGTAAGGACGAGTTTATTTTTTTTTTTTTTAATTTTCCCCCCCTTCCCCCGCTGCAGAATTTCGTCAATAGCGTCCACATTTCAAAAGCTACCTAAACCAAACTTTGCACACATAATTTATAAATAAATATCTACTGTTGTTTAAAATTTTATTCAATTCTGTCGATTCTAAGAAAAGTTATTAGCGAAACAAATTCTCGCCAGTACAACCCCCACAAACTGCAGCAACAAGTTCGCTCTTCTTCTTCCTCTTTTTGCTGCTGCTTTGGGCGCATATAACTCAGTGACGGAAGTTTACCTGGGTACAGGGTATTACACTGTCGGGCTTGCTCGACTGTAGCGTTCTCTCTTGTTTAATGAAGAATTTTACACAAAGTTACACAAAAATTAAAGAGAGAGGCAATTTATCAAAAAACCCCCCTTCTATAGAAATAAGAAATAAAGATAAAATGCAAATAATAATCAATAAATAATTGTGATTCAATTGGTTGTTATATTTTGGTATTCGTTTCGTTTAAGATTTTGTAAATTCTATTGACTCTAATTAAATTATTTAAAAGTTTGTTCGTTGCCAAAAATTGTGAAATTCAATGACCAAGTTGAATTGTAAACAAATCCACAATATTCATTTTTATATCTTTTAAGCTTGCAGACTAGTTTTCAAATAAACTGACACCAATATATTAGCATCTGCCAATCATCAGATTATATATAGTATTATATAATACCATTGGGAAGCTTTATTAATAATCACCTTTGGTGTATTCAGAAACATGAAATCAATTAAACAAACAAATTAAATGCTTGTTTGTAAATTTTAGCTCGTGTATAATATTTTAAATTAATTCTGTTTGTGCTCGTCGCAGCACATGTTCTGCAAATATAGAGCTTTTATAGCAAATTAATTTAGCTGTTGAACTGTTAAAATATTTGCACATTTGCAGAGCCAACTAATTATACATAATTTTTTAAATTCTTTACCCCTAAACATACAAGAGTATACTTGTATGTAAGTTCAGGTGAGTAGGTTAGGGCGTTTAAAAAATTACCCTTTTTTTTTTTGAATTTTTCACTGTTTTTATTGGAATGGAAATTGTTGCTGCCTTAATCTTTTCTAATTTATGGCAAAAAGGCCATTAAGGTAATTAGGCATGCATTTCATTTCCCTCCATAGCTGGGCCCCCAACGATTTGTTGGCTCGTACCGCTTTATCAGATTGTTGTAAGTGCTTTTTCATTCAGAAGGCGTGCAGGCTGGCAGGGAGGCAGAAAGGCAGACCGACTGGCAAGTGACAAACAATGTTTCGTTGGCTGTCAAAGGCATTCATGCCAAAAAATTGTGGCAAGTGTTGAGCGTTGTTGCCTTTTTGTTTGTGATGGGGCAAGAGATGCCGATTAGATATCCTTCCCCATGCTTAAGCATTCGCGACAAAACAATTTACGAGCAAAGAGAGACGGGGTTCAAAGGATTGCACTTAAATAAACACTTGATGCGGAATACAATTAAATATCAGCTTCCGACGACAAACTCTGGAGCTACTAGTACATCCCTCTCATCAAGAATGTGTTCACTTCCGCAGTAGAGGAGTGGCCCTCGGGACAGATGCTAAACATTTGCTCAGTCATTGCAATTGTTTCCGTTGCCAAGTTTTTGTATATACACATCTACAGTTTGCTTTTTACTGCCATATTTTTCCATTCCTTTTGTGCTCGCTTTCGTTCAGGCCTGGCTTTTCCAGGTCATTTGTTCATCTGGAAAACTGTGCAGCCTACTCAGCCAATGCCTGTGGGCCAAACACTTGTGTTAACAAGCGGGATGTTGTTGTTTTCGTTGCTGTTGCCGCTTTTGCCGCTTTTGCCGCTGTTCCCTCCCAGCCCTCTGTAGTGCAGTGACGTTGACTTGAGCTTGATTTATATGCCTTTAATTAAATGCGCACCTGCATTAAATAACATGCCGAATCGAAGGTCACATGAGTCCGCAAAGCTGAATGGGCTCATGAATAAGTAATGTGATGGTTAAAACATCTTTCTGTCAGGCATATATGTAAGTATAAGTAGCATGTACTCATATACTTGTATGTAGGCACTGTGATTTTGAATCATAATCCCCATAAGTAATTAATGTATATGTACATACAAGTACATATATGCTGAGAGGTATCTGATTGTATTGTTGATTAATCAAATCTACGCACATCGCATACTGCCTAATACCTCAGCCTAATCAGCATTCTTTTCATGCATGGGTGGGAGCTGAAGTTGGAGCTTGGCATTGAGCATGTGTTGCCAAGAAACATGCATATACAAGTATGTAGTCCATACATAGTATAAAGCGTTTCATCAAAAGGAAAATAAAAAGGTTATGTCTTCGGTCAAAGTGCCAATGTGATGGCCCATTTAATCGTTTTGCGAAGGTCTTGGCAGTTCGTGAAACGTTGTGACGTTGATGTCCTGGCTCTGGTTTAACATACCCATACACAGCACCCATGGGACGGATTACCAAAATGTGGCTCGTTAGTCAAAAAAGTTCTGCCCAAGAGCTTACATGGCAAGAACGACATCAAACATTCAAAGAACACTCGCCGCTGCTTCTTACGAATCCCTTTTTATTTCATCTGTGTCTGTTCCGTAGCTGAGACGTTAAAGCGAACATCCAAGTTAGGATAATGGGATGGTGTGGCATCGTTATTTTAAGCTCCAGCGCAATATTACTGAAGACATCAATTGCGGGCTTAAAGAAAATAAAAGTTTCCCTTTATTGTGGATGTTGATGTTGATGATTGTGTGTATCTTTGAGAATTGTTTTCGGGTTGCACTTTCCACGCCATCCGAGCCGTTTTCACTTTGCATTTCACTGCCTAACGTTTCGGGTTTAAAGTAAGACCTTTAATGAGATCAAATGAAAACGAAGCCCAATAACTACCGTTCTGTCATTTCGTCGACTGCCATCGAATGACGTAATCTATTTGTGTGTTTATGATTAGATTTGTGTACATGTTTTTGTCTCGACATCAGATAGTATATAGTATGTATGTATATACAAATGTATACTCATCTATGCGATGGCAGGATACCCGTCGTTTTATGTCTTTCCCTAACTTTTACGTAAACAAGTCAAAAAGGTATCTGTGACAACAACAAGCTTAAAACCATCGCAGCAACCGACTGCTGGCAGCTTTTTGGTCTGCGCTTTTTTGTATCTTGTCAGCACTTCTAGAAGGAAGAAGCAGCCGAACTGTCGCGGTTAGTACAAGGCTTCCAGAACACCCCCCAGTCAGTGTCAAATGGCGAGTTCACAAGATAAACACACACTGTCGTTCCTTTTCCGCCATTTTTAGTTTTTTGTGCAGTCGCCGCCTTAAAGCTGCAACCATTTAAATATTGTGGCAAGTGGGAACTGCATATTTGCTTCCTGGTGTCAAATCTTTTCGATCTATCTAAATACTATACATATATACTTAAATATGTTATTCTTTACAAGTGATTTTAGGTTCATTCTCTTGTTCCGAATATGACATTTTTGCAGCTAGTCAAAATACATATGTATAAATAAATAATATTTCAGAAGGTATTTAAATGAAAATATTAAAGTATTGTATTTATCAAAAGTCCACTGTTTCATAAATTCGTTTACAATGTATTAATGAAGTGCTCGAAAATAAATAAAAATTTACTTTCAGCTTCAAAAACGGTTTGAAAGCGGTTCAATGTCACATTCCAGAAAGTATTTAGTGCAATTTGATCTCTCATCCTAGATTTTAAGAGAACCTTTAAACTCATAGACTATTTTGAATATTACTTATTTTTCATTAAATGTTCATACATACCTGAACTTTTCGTACTATGACGTTCTTCTGGTACATTAAGACTGGACTTGCCTTCCATTTTGTAATCAAATGTTTAGATTTGGCTGCAAGTAGACTTAAACCAGAATTTTTTTTAGCTGCTTATACATTTAATCGCATTCAGAGATATTTTAATAAATATGAATATTTATATACTTGTATTTTATCTACGTTGTCAGTAAAGTTAACTGCGGTTTTTTTCTCTTTGTCATTGAAAAGTTAGCATAAAGAAAACAATTTCATGAAAAACTTGGTGGTTTGCACAAAAAAGTTATCTCACAAACTTTCTTATATGTCACTGAAAAAAACTGTTTTATTCTTGTTGGCATACAAATACGAGTTCCTATTCCTATGCATTTCCTGGACTTTACAAAAAATTTGTCACAAAAAGTTTCAATTCTTACAAGAATTATAAGTTGTTTCTTCCGACAAATGTATCAACAGTTATTGCATTTTTTCTGAATTAATAAATAGCTGTGTCTTTATGCAAAGTTTTGTCTCTCTACCAGCTTATTATCAGAACTGTAGGTTTGACTTTAGTTACAAGGGCCTATCGATGGGATTTTTTGATCCAAATAGGCAAAAAATCAAAAGTTATTAAAGCAATGTTATACAAAAGAAAGTTTCAATATATTGCGATTATAACTGGACCAACTGTATAGTTTGATAAAAGTGCCTGACGGTAATTAATTTAACAAATATTTTATTGTTCGAATATTAAATTGAACAGTTGTCTTATAAGTAGTTGACAATTACGCTTTTATTCTTTTAAGCATGTGAAATTGAAGTTGTATATTTGAAATTATCGTTGTATCAGATTCGGCAACCATGTATATTAGATAAGTCCCATATCAGCATAGTCAGTAACTGTCAAATAAAAAGATGCTCTTTACAAATAATTATAATTATTTCACATACAAGTAATATACAACAAGAGAGAACGCTACAGTCGAGCAAGCCCGACAGTGTAATACCCTGTACCCAGGTAAACTTCCGTCACTGAGTTATATGCGCCCATAGCAGCAGCAAAAAGAGGAAGAAGAAGAGCGAACTTGTTGCTGCAGTTTGGGGAGGTTGTACTGGCGAGAATTTGTTTTGCTAATAACTTTTCTTAGAATTGACCGAATTGAATAAACAACAACAGTAGACAATTATATATAAATTATGTGTGCAAAGTTTGGTTTAGGTAGCATTTGAAATGTGGACGCTATTGACGAAATTCTGTAGCGGGGGAAGGGGGGGAAAATTCCAAAAAATAAAATAAACTCGTCCTTTCTCGGACCTAGGAGAATCTGGATGCCAACTTTGGTTATTCTAGCTTTTATAGTTTCTGAGATCCTCGCGTTCATCCAGACGGACGGACGGACAGATGGACGGACGGACGGACATGTCTAGATCGATTACTTTATGGGGTCGGAGATGCTTCCTTCTGCATGTTACATACTTTGCACAAACCTAATATACCCTTTTTAACCTACGGGTACAGGGTATAAAAATTATCGCCATATGAAGTCGATAACACATTCATTAAAATGGAACTGAGTTGGATTTGTTGAAATTTTTCTATTGATCAATGCACAGGTTATTATTTAAAAGCATCGTGCATTATTTAATCAAAATTTAAATTTGTTGGCCCCCCCTTTCGCAAAAGCCAAACTTTGTGGGATCTGTGATGTTTTTAAGCAAATATTTTAGAACATACTCGTATGTAAATAGGCATCGTACGATGCTTGCTTCAATTATTAATCATCTCAAAACATATTATGCAATAATAATTGGTGATAACAAAATTGAAATTAAAGAAGTCACTCAGTAATCGCAGTTTTTCGGATCAATGCTCGGTACGCATTTTTTACTGTACCTTATCTTGTATTGGCATTAGAAAATATTGTTGCGAACAAAATGTGCTAACTCTTTAACGGCCCCCTCTGATGTATCATCAAAATATATATGTAATTTCCTACTCCATTAACTCACAAGTCACGCCACGTAATTGGTCTTTATGATGACGCGAAACATTTTGCGGGCAGCCTTTGCCCCCAGAAACTGGGCTAAGTACTTATAACATGGTGTGTTCACATTAAAGCCAAACTACCTGCGTCCTTGCTAAATACGTCTGTACTGTGAAGGGAAAAGTACTTAAAATTAATGATGACACGGGTACGAAACGGGAAAGAACCAACGACAATCTCTGCCAATGTTGTTTGTTATTGTTGGGTTTTTGTTTTGTTGCTGTTGCTGTTTCTGTTGTTGTTATTGTTGTTGTTGTTGTGGATGTCGAGTTTGACGGATTTGTGCGCTGTTTCAGATTAATGCTACGATTATTGTTTGCAATGGGAATGCCGCACAGTGGAACGGACTAGAGAAGCCATAAAAAAGGGAAGGGTGTGCACTGCCTTGAAAATATTCGATTTAATTCGATTTAACAATTCTAAATATTGTAAAATTGCTGACTGTGCGCCTTGAAAAATAAATAAAATCTACATAGTCATTGTTTACGTTATTTATTTCCCTTTATTTTGTAAATATGTTTAATTGTACTATCCATTATTAGATGAACAAATAATAGTTGCTAGGAAAAACTTTTGGGAAACACATATTTTGAAATAATGTATTTATGTATCGATAAGATAAAACAAGATATCTATTTTCTGTGTGTGGCTTTTCCTCAGAACCAATGTTGTGCCAAAAAAAGATGGATTAAAGTTCACGTACAGTATCATTATATAATAAAATAAATTAGAATTAATGAATAGATTGAGCTTTGATTTAAGTCAACTTATCCCGAGTTTTTATTTAGTTCAGGTCTTGTAATACCAAGCACTATTGGGTAGTTATTTTTTTCAACTTGCAACAGGCACATTTTGTTTCCTCTTTTTGATCGAATTTGTTGCTCTCCAATTCATCTACAACTCGAACTACAGTGCATATGTAAATATTTATTTGTAAATATCGAAAATTAAGAAATTTTAAATAATAGCTTAAACATGTTCATTTTAACAAGTAAATGAGGTTTCCTTTAAGTAAAAAGGCAGACTTTATATATAACATTATAAATTACATTTTGGGAAATACAATCAGCCCACTGTACGAAGACAGCGAAAGAATTGGTTTTTTCTTTTTTGTATGCAAAATTTAACCCTGTGTATTGTCAGTCAGTGGGTTGGCTGGTTTTTATACTCTGTACATGAAATGTACAAGAGTATATTAGGTTTGCGGGAGCTGAAAAATGTAACAGGCAGAAGGAGGCGTGGCAGACCCCACAAAGTATATATATTCTTGATCAGCATGACGAGACGAGTCGATCTAGCCCTGTCTGTCTGTCTGTCCGTCTGTCCGTCTGTCCGTCTGTCCGTCCGTATGAACACCTGGATCTCAGAGACTATAAGAGATAGAGACACCAAATTTTGCACGAAGATGCGTTATGTGTGTATTCTATACGAGTTTGTTTTATTTTTTTGATTTTCCCCCCCACTTCCCCCCTATGGGGGTTTTCCCGATTTTCCATTCGTATAATCGCCTATATCTCGGAGACTATAAGACCTAGGAACACCAAATTTTAGTCCCAGATGCCTTATGTGAATACGCAGAAAATGTATATTTTGGAATTCCCCTCCCTCCCCCCTCTACCCCGCAAATCGTAACTCCCGTAATTCTTGGAATTTCGAACTAAAATTTTGGAAATACCCCCAGTTGGTTATTATGTGTCCGTATGCCAAATTTCATTATGATAGACCGATTTAACAAGAAGTTATAGCCATAAATATATTTGCTGATGCAGCGCTGCTGCAGCGCTGCTCAAGCGCTGCCCGCGGCTGTTGTTGATGTTGCTGTTTGGTTGACTGCGAAAATGCTTACACAGACACGAATAGATGCGCATAGGCATACATACACTCACACAGACGCAATTGCTATGTAAATGTGCAATTACGTGAGTTCGAATACCGAGAGAGGTAAAATCGATCAAATTTTTTTTATTTTCTATAATTATTGTAAACATATGTACAGAGTATTTCAAAGTCGGGACACCCGACTTTAGCTTTTTTACTTGTTTTTATTGTTTTCCTTCTTTAATCTACCCGTGCACTCAGACTTGTTCACCGAGATTCGCACGCGCTTTTAAGGATGCCGAGAATGAAGAGCAGGAAGTGAGGCAAATATTTACACAGTTGGATGATTTAGATAAAGAAGACATGAACATGAACCATAAAGTGAAGCGTAAGGGGAGGCCAAAGCAATGGCGGGAAATAAACCCCAAACATTATACAAGGATGAAGAATTTTGAATACAATGAGGAGGATTAAAGAACGCCGCCATTGCTGAGCCCCACTTCTTGGCTTCTGTTGTGGCAACAAAGCCAACAATAAGAGCAACAGCCGCCGGAACAAGGACCGTAATCCAAATTAATGCAAATACCGTGTTGCAAACTTTTGAATTAAGCGCCAAACACATTTCACATCTTTACTTCCACAATCTGTAATTAATAGGTAATGGGAATGCCAAACTTTAATCCAATGGGAAATGAACTAATTGTGGGCGCCTCAGGGCCACCAATGCGTTCGACGAATCTGTTAATTTTTGAATACAGCGAGAGCTGGCACATACTTGTATGTATAGTAGCAAGTAGCACATCCATAAATCTGCATAAATCTATTTATGACAGCCCCTGTATACCTCGGCTTATGATTTAGGATTAGGAAGCCAAGTACGAGCATGCCAGGCAGTATACAAATGTGTTTGTATGTATGTGTATAAACAAGTATGTATATATTTATGTATCGTATGCAAAATGGCGCACACGGATAATTTATTCAAGCGAATATTGCAGCAGTAGCAGCAGCAACGTCAAAAAACAAATGGAAATGCAAATGTACACATATACCAGCATGCACAGCAGATCCACAGAGGGAGTACACGCACCTACACACACACACACACACACACACACACACACACACTCACACACTCTCGGCTGGCATCATGGAATTGGGCCTACTGCTAGTAGTTGCTACGAACACCTCTTGAATTTTGTAAGGCTCTAGGTGAAATAAAGGGCCCGCTCGATTGAGTGAACGG